TGAGTCCCCTTTTATTTGAGTATGACATAAACAACTTTATTTTGCATACTCAACTTTCACAAGTATGAGGTCATATTTCATGCTAGTTTTAATTTGGATTTACATAGTGATTAATGATGCTAAACATCTTTTCATGTGTACTGGCTATTTGTACATCTTCTCTCAAGAAATGTCTATCAAGTCCTTTCTCCATTTTTGGATCGCTTGTTTTGTTGTTGTTGAGATTTAGAAGTTCTTTATAGATTTTGGATTCTAATCTCTTATCAGATATATAATTTGCAAATACTTTCTTCCTTTGGTGGGTTACCTTTTTATTTATTGATACTGTCTTTTGATGCACATCATTTTAAAATTTTCATAAAATCCAATTTGTTTATTTTTCTTCTGTTGTCTTGGCTTTGGTGTCATATCTAAACATCATTGCTAAATCCAATGTCATGAAGCTCTTGCTCTATTTACCTTTAAGGGTTTTATAGTTTTAGGTCTTACATCAGGTTTTTATTCTCTTTGGAGTTAATTTTTTTTTTTTTTTTTTTTTTTTGAGACAGAGCCTCAAGCTGTCCCCCTGGGTAGAGTGCTATGGCTTCACTGCTCACAGCAACCTCCAACTCCTGGGCTCAAGCGAGTCTCCTGCCTCCGCCTCCCAAGTAGCTGGGACCACAGGTGCCCACCACAATGCCCGGCCATTTTTTTGGTTGCAGCCATCATTGTTGTTTGGCGGGCCCGGGCTGGGGATTCGAACCTGCCACCTTAGGTGTACGTGGCTGGCGCCTTAGCTGATTGAGCCACAGGCGCCAGCCTGGAGTTAATTTTTGTATACGGTGTTACAACTTCATTCTTTTGCAAATGGATATCTAGTTTTTTCAGCACCATTTGCTGAAAGACTGACCTTTTCCTATTTAATGGTCTTAGAACACTTGCTAAAAATCATTTGGCCCTAGAGGTATAGGCTATTTCTGAGTTCTGTATTCTATTCCATTGGTCTACATATCTGTCTTGATCCCAGTGCCAGATTATTTTTATTACTGCACCTTTGTATTAAGTTTTGAAATCAGGACATGTGAGTCCTCTACCTCTGTTCTTTTTCAAGATTGTTTTGGCTCCTCAGGATCCTTTGAAATTCATGTAAATTTTAAATAATAACTTTTTTCTACTCCTGCAAAAAACATAATTGGGATTTCGGTAGGGATTATAGTAAATCTGTAGATCACTTTGAGTAGCACTGACATCTTAACAATATTATGTCTTCCAATTCATACACATGGGATGTGTGTCTATTCATTTATGTCTCCTTTAATTACTTTCAGCAATATTTTATAGTTTTCATTGTATGAATCTTTCACCTTCAGGGTTTAGCTAATTTCTAAGGATTTTCTTTTTGACGCTCCTGTACATGGAATTGTTTTCATAGTTTCTTTGTCAGTTTGTACATTGTTAAGAGTACAGAAATGCAGCTGATTTTGTGGGTTGATTTCATATCTTGCTACTTCATTGAATTAATTTATTATTTCTAATTGGGTTTATTTTCTGATTGTGGAACCTTTAAGATTTTCTACATATAAGATCATATAATCTGTAAACAGGGATAATTTTACTTCTTTCTTTCCAATTTGGATTACTTTTATTTCTTTTTTTCCCTCTAATTGCTCTAGCCATAACTTCTAGTACTAGGTGGAAAAGAAGTACCAAGAGTGAGAATTTTGTATTTGTGATCATAGAGGAAAAGCTTTAATTTTCTCAATGTTAAGAGCGACATTACCTGTGGCCTTATCATCTATGGCCTACATTATGCTGGGGTAGTCCTTCTATACCCAATGTGCTGAGCATTTTTATCATGAAAAAAATGTTTATTTTGGCAATTTTTCTCTGCATCAATTGAGATGATCATATAATTTTTGTCCTTCATTCTTAACGTGGTGTATCACATTTCTTGATTTGTATAGGTCAAGCCATTCTTGCATGCCAGGGATAAATCCCACTTGCTCATGGTGCATGATAAAATTTAGCTGTGAAACCATCATGTCCTGGACATTTCCTTGATGAGAGACCAATCAAGACTCAATCTCCTTACTTGTTATTGGTCTGTCCTTGTTTTATATTTCTTCATGAGTTAGTCTTCGCAAGTTATATGCTTCCAGAAAGCTATTCATTTCTTCTAGATTATGCAATTTGTTAGCATATAATTATTCATAGTAATCTCTTACAACCCTTCACATTTCTGTTGTACTGTCTCCTTCTGAATTTATTTGTCTTCTATCTTTTTTCTTTAGGTTCACTTGTGGATTTTGCCTATCTTTTCAACAACAACAAAACCCAGCTCCTTTCTGTGGATATTTTCTGTTAATTTTCTAGTCTCCGCTTCCTTTATTTCTGATTTGATCTTTATTTCCTCATCTCTGCTAACTTTGTGCTTCATCTGTTCTTTTTTTCCTGGTTCTTTGAGGTATTAAATTAAGTTGATTTGAGATCTTTTGTCTTTCATTAATGTAAGTGTTTATCACTATGCACTTGCTTATTAGAGGTGCTTTTCCCATAACGTTCTGTATATTGTGTTTCTATTTTCATTTGTCTTAAGGTATTTTTAATCTTTCTTTCTTTTTTTTTTTTTTTGAGACAGAGCCTCAAGCTGTCACCCTGGGTAGAGTGCTGTGGCTCACAGCAACCTCCAACTCCTGGGTTTAAGTGATTCTTTTGCCTCAGCCTCCCAAGTAGTTGGGACTACAGGCGCCCACCACAATGCCCGGCTATTTTTTGGTTGCAGCCATCATTGTTGTTTGGCAGGCCCGGGCTGGATTCAAAACCGCCAGCTCAGGTGTATGTGACTGGCGCCTCAGCCGCTTGAGCCATAGGCGCGGAGCCAAGGTATTTTTAAATTTCTTTTTTGACTCACTGGTTGTTCAGTATGTGTTGCTTAATTTCCATGTTTGTGAATTTTCCAGTTTTTTTCCTGTAACTGACTTCTAGTTTCCTATCATTCTGTTTAGAAAATGCACTTGTTATGATTTCAACATTCCTAAAATGTTTAAGACTTGTTTATAGCCCTCTATGTGATCGACCCTGGAGAATGTTCCATGCATTCTTGGGAAGGATGCGTTTTCTACTTCTTTTAGATGAAATGTTCTGAATTATACATCAGGTCTAAAGCAGAGGTGTCCAAGCCACAACCCATAGGCCACATGCTGATTTTATAAGGACCATTTTTGCTTATCTGTGGCATCAGATATCACAAAAAGTATGTACAGGTCTTTTTTTTTTTTTCTAATCAGCTTTCATTAATGTTTGTGTATTTAATGTGTGGCCCAAGAAGCTCTTCTTTTTCTAGCCACCCAGATTCAAAGTCGCAGTTTACTGTTAGCTATTCCTTTCAAGTGATTCCCATTTATAATCACCTTCCAAATTTGGTAAATTCTACCACTCCATGTCTCTTACATGGAATATCAGCGGGACCATATAACCTAAGTCATGACCCACACTAATCCACTCTACATAAAACTTTTTCTATTTTATGAATGCCACTTGAGCAGAATACAAACCCCTAAACTAGGTCTTAAAGGGCCTTCCCATTTGGGCCAATGTTTTCATTCTTGCTTCTCACCACTATCTCTAATCTTGTCCCAGTACCAGTAACACCATAAACCACTCAGAGACATACCTCTGTACTTAATGACCCTTTGCTCATTCTGTTTCCTTAAGCTAAAAAGTCTTCTCGCCCTTCAAAGGCTACTTTCCCTAGGAAATCTGTCTCTGACCAAACGTACCTTTCCTCTGGAATCTCTAGCCCACTGTGCTCAGGTACTTCTTATCTTGCAATCCTGTGGTTATTTATCAACCTGATGTTCTTCTTGCCTCAACTAAGTTGTCATTTCAGAAGGGCTGAGAACAGGTGTTATGTCGAAAGCCCCTAAAGGACCCAGGATACTACTTTGCTTATGGTAAGAGCTCAGTACGTTCTAAAAATAGATAATTTCTGTCTAAATAAGGTACTGTTGGTTGCATTGCAGTAATGTGGTCACCTATCACTTTCAAACTCAAAAAACTGTTAACTTAAAAGCTGTCAAGGAAGGTGGCAATGGCCCCTGTTAGAAACAACAGTAATCAGATAATACTTAATCAATGGCCCATATTATATACTTTGTTGTAAAACATTTCAGTCCTTCATTTAAAATACTTGTAGCTCAATGTCAAAGGTGGCTATAATAAAATTTTTAGTTGCTGTTAGGAATATATGTCAAGGGACCTAAAAAAAGCAACATCTATTGTTTTTTACAAGAGCTACTCTTAGAACATCGATACTTAGTAGGCGACAAAAACAATACATGTATTATTGGCTTAAGAACTCCTTCTCCAAAGTGAAAATAGTCAGAGGCAGATGAGCATGACAGGTTTTTGTTGCTATTGCTGCTGTTGTGTGTTAAAGAATCTGACAATTACAATGTTCAGCTTTGGAGTTTTCTGGTGTGTCAGCATGTGTTCAGCTCTAAACAATGGAACTGTTAACTCACACTGCCTTGAAAATAGGGCATTTGTTATCCATATAATGGAAAGAAGATGAACTCTTCAAATCTGAGGAAGTCAGTGATACAATGATATTATAGATCAGACCCAAGTTCTTTCCATATCTCTGCTCTGCCATCCACAGACTCTCCATGGCTGTAAGGCTTGTTCCTTTTGAACCTGCTGCTAGTAACTACAGGAGATATACACATCCTTGTGCGTATCCAGTGGGAGTAGATGAACGGAGGCCTCTCTCCTAACCA